GCCTGCGCCGCCGTCTCAACGAGGAGTACCTCCTCAAGCGCATGAACTCTACCATTGTCACCTCCGGACCTGGCTCCGACCGCACCCAGACTCCCGAGGCTCGCCAGCGCAACCTCCAGTTCCTTGAGTCCTGGTCTGGCGTTGTCAACTTCGCCACCAACGACCGCGAGGTTTCTGAGTGGTACGAGGGCAACCGCAAGTCAATCACGGAGAGAATCGAGGCTGTCAAGGCTGACAACTTGGCCACTGAGCTGAGCGCCATCTTGAGGAACAATGCCAACGCTGGTATGCGTGGTGTCCGTGAAGTTCTCCGCACCATGCCTCCTGAGGAGCGTGACCAGCTCCTCAAGTATCTGAGGGATTAAGTATATGTGGATTGGCTGGCGTATGGGTAATGGCATTAGATGTGTTTGGGATGATTATGACTATGTATGAGCATTATTCTGCCGTGTGTTAAGATAGATTTCAATGTTGGAATAACTTCCCGTGTAATGATACGACGTATTTACTTTTAGCATACTCTGGCTTTGGTTCTTGTGATGATAAACGTTTGCCCCGCCCGTCTGAACTAAAGCGACTACTAACGACGTTCTTCCTGAGGTTTCAATCAGCAAGGGCCATGCGTCGTCTCCTGATCGCCGATGTCTGTGTGTCTTATCTCCGATAAGTTTTCTAACCTCTCACACCACCACGCGAGATTAAGCGGGACGAATGACACATCTCCTACGTCGAAGAGTCAGGATCAGATCCTGCTGTCGGCGATGGATCTTTGACGTGCGATGGTGGTATCCCACCGGCGGGTGAAGGCGGCTCGGAGGGGCGCATAAGCTGATGAAGAGCTGCATGGTGTGGTGTTGTGTGGTGGAGGAATTGCACCGCGCGCATGCGGGCTGCGACATGCTAGCTAGGTCTGTATATGCTTACAATGTATTTGACGTCTGAGATCCTCCAGGACTGCGTTAAGATGGGAATAACTATTGACAAACGGCTGATAGTAGCGCGACTTTGGGGATTTGTGCCCATTGAGACGCTATTTATTCGCGTGTACAGCGTAGAGTATAAGATGCTGCGCGACTTGTCCATTCGCACAAGTCATCGATCGATGCGTCTATGCGAATAGTATTGGGCTTTTTGATTTTTCTTTTGATTTCCACCTAGATTTTGTTAGTATTCTACAAAGCGAAAGTCTTGAATGAGTAAGACGAGGCCAAATGCTATCGATCTGTTAATATCTTGAAGCTTATCATGCAAGGTACATCGTATTGAAGAGTATCAGATCATGTTAGGTGCTCCGTAGTTGCCGGCTGAGAGATTTTCCAGGCTTCGTCGAGGACGGAAAAGCTTTTCGGATTTCGTATATCAGAATAAGTCCAGGCCATGTTGTTCGCGGAAAGCTGCCGTTCTGTGTACAGGGGGGGTAGAGGTGTCACGGAGGGAGCCCGTACTGGTACTGGGACCCATCGGCCAAAAGCCGACGGGATACACTGCATGTACACTGCCCCCCATCGAACTGGATCTCTTTGACGTCGAGGCTTAATCTGACGGCGTCGTGGTCTTGGCGAGGTTTGTAAGAGGATTGCTGTATTGGGTAGGTGAGCCGCGTGGGATCCTTGGATGGAGGACTGTCAAACTTACGATTGGGGATCGGCTCCTGGAAGGATGGATGGAGGGTGGGACTTCGGGCCGGCCCATTTTCTTTGTCCGAGGGGCGGGTTTGATCTGATAAGATGGAAGGCAACCAATTGTTAAAAGGTCTTAGCCTTGGCATGGGATGGTTTTTTGGATTGGTTTCTTCAGGCTGGCTGAGGGACGTTGTTTGGCATGGGACAAGTTCTGCCAAGAGGTCAGAGGGACGTCGTATTTTCCTAACCCGGCTATTTGATGATTGAAAACTGCGGCCAGCCTAGGAACGATGAAGGCGATCTCATCACGAAACGGGTCGCAATAGCTTGTGGAGTTCAACATGAGAGTGTTCACATGGACTTGGCCACATTCCGAGCTTGGCAACACCAAGTGCAGGAGGACGGGAGCCACTCAACTTTTCTCGTACCATCCATCCCGTGGGCGGTTAAGATGTCTCCTTTCAGGAAGTGCGTAAACATCCAACTTCTCTGCAGTCACGTCGGGTGAGCTTGGGCATGAGTTTCGGTCTCCGATGCGTATTACGGTGGGATGGACCTCTGGGGATGCTCGAGAACTTATGAAAGAGGAACCCGCCTTCCTGGACATCCCGCGGAGGTGTACAGACACACACCTGCTACAAACACTTTCTTTCCGAAGTCTGGGGCCTCCTTCACGCCAAAATGCCCGCCGCGTTGAAGTCGATATCGAAGCAGGCGCTGGCCATGGCCAACGCGCGCTCCCGCACGAGCTTCGACGTCGAGAAGCTCACCAACCTCATCTACGGCGGGGCGTCTGTCGTCCGCGCTCGGCGCGCGGCTTGGGCGAGGGTTGAGAAGGCGCTCGGGACGGATGATACGTCGCGTCTGCCAGGACACTATGCCAAGACGAGCCGCGAGGACTTGTATGAACAACATCCCCTCTTTCCTGCAATCGACCATATTGTTGACCAAGAACGTTCCCAGATACCTCGACGGCCTCCGCATGGGCCGCGCCGTGTGGGAAGACCGCCGGACGCACCACCACGCCCACTTCGACTGGCTCACGCCGCGCTACACACTCTTCAACTACTCCCCCTTCGGCCTCTCGCCGGCCATGTTCGTCAAGATGCTGCAGCTGATGGCGACGCCGGCGCAGCAGGCGCGCTGGCTCACACCTGCTCTCGCGGGGCGGATTAACGGCGCGTATGTGCAGACGGAGCTGGGACACGGGACGTTTGTGCGCGGGCTCGAGACGGTGGCGGAGTTTGACTCCGCGACGGACGAGTTTGTGATAAGGTCGCCTGGGGGCGCGGCGAGTACCAAGTTCTGGCCGGGGAGTCTTGCGTTTTCGGCGTCGCATGCGATAGTGATGGCGCGGTTGGTTACACGAGGTAGGGATGAGGGGGTGCATCCGTTCATGGTGCAGTTGAGGGATGTGGAGACGGGGCGGCCGGTGGAGGGGGTCGAGTTAGGGGACATCGGGGTCAAGATGAGCCATAACCAGAACGATAACGGGTTCGTGAGGTTTGAGGGGGTGAGGGTGCCGAGGGGGAACATGTTGATGGCGCAGGCGGCGGTTGGGCGGGACGGGGTGTATGAGAGGAGGGAGGGGACGCATGAGAAGGCTGCGTATGGGACGATGATGGTGACGAGGTCGAAGATGACGTGGGTTAATGGGGTGCAGCTTGCTGCGGCCGCGACGATTGCGACGAGGTACTCGACGGTGAGGGTGCAGGGGACGCTGCCGTTTGGGAAGGGGGATGCGGAAGAGGTCCCGTTGATGAGCTTCCGCAGTCAGCACTTTCGGCTGTTGACGTTGGTGGCGAAGGCGTATGGTATCTTGTTTGCGTCCAAGTACACCGAGGAGGTTCATCGGGAGTTTGAGCGGAGGAGTGAGGAGGGTGACTTTTCGACAATGACGGACGCGCATGCGCTTATTTCGGGGATGAAGGCTTGGTCGTCGGCGATTGCGTCTGAGGGGACGGAGGATGCGAGAAGGGCTTGCGGTGGGCAGGGATATCTTGTCACTTCGGGTTTGCCGGAGCTGGTGCAGACTTCTGCGATGATGTGTACCGGGGAAGGGGACACGCATGTGCTGTTCCAGCCGCTGGCCAGGTATCTGATGAGGTATACGGGATTTGCAGGGAAAGCTGGAGAGCAAGGGTTGCCTGCGGACCTGAGGTATCTTGCGGCGCCGTATACGAGGCGGTGTACGGAGGCCGACTTCAGGGATCCGAGGGATGAGAAGACTCAGCTGTTGATCTTCCAACACCGGGCTCAGAGGTTGGTTGATCGGGCGGCGAGGGGACTGAGGAGGGGAGTGGAGAAGGGGAAGACAAAGGGAGAGGCGTGGAATGAGTGCGTCATGGGGTTGATGAGTGCTGCGAGGGCGCATACTGAGTATCTGATCTTAAGGGAATTTGTCGGAGCTGTAGAAAAGGTCGAGGACGAAGAGGTGAAGGGCGTGTTGGAGAAGCTAAGATCGGTGTTTGCGTTGTCCACGATTGTGAATCCACAGTCAGCGGACGCCTTGACCTTTGTCGAGGATGGGTTCTTGTCGGAGGAGCAGTTGGATGAGATTCGGCATACGCTCGGAAGGCTGTTGGACGAACTTCTGCCGGATGCAATTGGACTTACTGATGCGTGGGACTTCACCGACGCTGGGTTGGGAAGCGCGATCGGAAGAAAGGACGGAGAGGCGTATGAAACGCTCATGAGTTGGACAAGGCAGTTGCCGATCAACAAGATGGTGAAGAGGAACGGAGGTGTTCATCCCGAGGCTTGGAGAAAGTACATCAGGCCTGCCCTGAAGGGCGTTGAAGAAGACAAGAAGGAGTCGGTAGGAAGTGGCATTGAGTTTACGCCTTATGAGAGGGAGCATCAAGTCATGATGGCTGGGAAAGCTTCTGAAGTGTTGTAGGAGTTTTGTTAAAGTAAAGGTTATTGCAAGAGCTGAAAACTTAGTTTCGCTACGTTCGTATCATTCGTATCATCGTTAAATAATTTCAATCTTTGTTTCGATTGGGCGTCCTTCCTGGTCTTCAACGAGTCGCATGCTTCCGGGGTAAACGAACCCTACACCTACTCGCTTCAATATTCGTTTCGATGTATTGCCAGGGCGCTGGAGTAAGAGTCCCCAATACACCATCTCGGAGCTTCCCACGGTGAGAAAATCTACGCACTCGTTCTTACAAGTTAGCAGGATCTTAGGGTGATGGGCATATAAAGAACCTACTGAATTGCGATGTAAACAAGAACCATGATCTCGAGCCTCAGCGCTTGTCTTACAGCAGCATGAGTGCGTACCACGGTGGACAAGATTGTCCTCCAGAAAGTGAGGATGACTTGTTGATGTTGATCAGCACAGTAATGTCAGAAGGAAGCTTGAACACAGCTGTCTTACCACAGATCAAGTGTTTGACGGCGAACCGAGGTCAGGATCAGAAAGTAAATGTTTTGGAGCGGAAGATCCCGATCAAGCCTTCCCATGCCGACAACATTGCCTTCTCCAATGCCGCGTGGGCTACGTAAAAGATAATTCCTCAACTGCCTCCCAGGCTCAGCAGAATTATTCGACAGAAACGCCAGCTCGATGCTTTCGGACCGTTGCAGGGTTGGTGCAATGCTTTCGTGTTTGACCTCATCCGACAGGTAAGTGACGCAGCATTCCTGCAGTGAGCCTAACTTAACCATGAAAAAGAATCCTGTAGATCGGATTGCCCCCGTTTTTCTAAGTACGGGCCATGTCATATTCACTGGCACGTTAGCTGGCAAGTGTCTTATGGGCCAGACCTTGTGACCCCCCGAGGCGGCCCAAGACCATGACGGAAGGTTCGGCAAATCATCTTTCTCATATGGCTTCTCCATGGGCAGCCAGAGAAGCTGTTCAGCCAGTTGTGCCTTCCACACGCCGAATCTGAACACAGGCTTCAGATCTATGAGGGCTGCTCTGTCTTCCACAACCTCGTTCTCGGAAGAAGATGTTTGGTCGCTAGAGAGCGTGTGCCGAAACAGATTGGACGACCCGGTCTTCGCCGTTGCGATGCCTCGAATCGCAACTAGTCGGTCTGATGGGTATGTTAAAGCCTTTGCAGTGTATTGGCTTAGAATTCCCAGCCAGGAACTTGAAAGCTTTTGAGGCTCTGAGTAGTTCCAGCGTTCATTGTATTCTCGGTGTGATTCTCGATGTGAACACGCCCATGATATCCCTCCCGGCATGAACAGTACTTTTCGGTGTGCGAAATACCACTCCTGGTACGCCCAAGCTCGCTGATGTAGTGGACCTAAAGATGGCGTTGAAGATTCTTGGGAGAGAATGGCTAAGTTGTACTCTCCTTGTGATGTCAAAGCCCTCCCCGTTCGAAGAGAATAAGGTGAAAATGGGAGGGTGAAAATGTTTGGATGCTGGCGCTTTGTTATGAATAATCCCTCGGTCGAATCATTCGAACCAGCAGCGGCGAGGACTAGGGTGGCGTCTGTGTATATTGGTCCCATGCTCTCAGACTCTTGAAGCCACTCCTCAGGGTCATCTTGCACAATGCATAATGAGTCGATCCACAAGTATTCGATGCCCAGATTTGCAACAAGAGAGACGGCATCGCGGAATGTAGCCGGTAGATCGTTGAACGGTATGTTGGACATACGATCTTTTAGAGTCTGTTTCGTCGTTCTCAACGGCTGTTTTTCAACAGGCCCCCAGCAATGACTAAGGGCGCAGTAGGAACCAGAGGCGCCTTGACTTTCAATAAGCTTGATGGATATGTCGTTGGTCACATTCCGAGTAACGGAAAGAACCCGCCTCGGCAGCTCGGGGGCCTTCACAGCCGCCATGGTCCCAGAGTCTGATTGTTTTGGGGAAGCGTTGCCTTGGTACTGCTGATAGAGCTGATGGTCTGCCGTACAATGATCCAGCCATTCTCTAACAAGCACTGCTATTTTGGCCGGATCTTCGTCCAGGATTGGAGGCCGCGTAGTCAGAATCTTTGATGCGGGTGTGCCTATACTTGTTGGCGCTAGTTAACAGACCATGCACCCTGGTCAGATGCTTCCATGTCCCAGGTGGGCTTGCTTGCCTTTGGCAGCCCAGACGGCCAACTTCAACGGCTGTACTGTACTTGGAGTCTTCCAACTGAACCCAAGACTTGAGAAAGGATCGCTGCTGAGCCCTGATAGAAAGTGTTTGGACGCTGCGACGTCAACGGCGTGCCGGTCGCCGGGTTCATCCGGCAAGTCAAAGTCAGACCCATAACCATCTTTCAAGAACCGGTAAACGTGCTGGCAGAGTTGGCAAGTGGAGGAGGACTCTAGTACAGCTCTGCGTTTCTTCAGGCCGAATGTCTTACTGAAGGTGGTGATTGACCTGGGAGGCGGGAAGAAGTCGAAAAATTCGTAACAACCGGGACAATAACCCAAGTCACTTGCGACTAGGGTCATATCTTGGAAGGCGTGAACATCCATCAGATACGCTCACACACAACCAACGCCTAAATGAAGGCTGCCGCATCAGCAACGCACTAGCTTGAGTGCTTGTGCAAAATTGTGCAGTGATTTTGGAAAAAAAGAGGGGTTCAATACCGCAGTCTGTAGGGACGACTAGCTTAAATTAAATTCTAACTACTTTAAGTTACTATACTTATACTCTCTTTAGTATATAACTAAATATTATATTATAATTATATATTAGCAGTCTGGTCAACCTATATAAGTAGGTATCACAGTTCACTCTATACTTTTTTTCATAGTACTAAAACCTAATAGTAATACTTTAACCTATACCTAATCTTAATAAAGTAAATAAATAAATCTTAATATAACTAGTTATTAATACTTAGCTTAACTTATCTCTAGTAGAAGAGGGTAAGTAAGTAGGTAGTAGAGTAGTAAAACGTACTAGTGAGAGCGTTATTTATAACGCTATTATTCGTAAACGTATTATTTGTAACGCTCTTATTCGTAAGAACGTTATTCGTAATATTATAAAGGTATTATCTATAACGCAGAATACTAATAGTACTTATAGTAGCTAGAGCTTAGTAATAGCTTAAACCTATACTTAAGGGCGTAAACTTAATAGTATAACTCTTTACTGCTATAGCTAAAAGGGTTCTTATAGCTATAGTATAAGAACTTAACTACTACTTTAAATAAAGCTTTAAGCTTATTTTTTATATCCTCTTATATATATAATAACTATAATATCCTTCCCCCTTATTATACTTATATATAAGCTAAGTAAAGCTATATTAAATAACTTAATCTATAAGACTAAAGTTAATAAAATTAAGAGCTCTAAGTATAGTAACTTTTTTTATATTAATAAGAAGATTTTACTTAAATTCACCCTAAATTACTTACTTAAAATAGCTAATAAGGATAATATAATAAAGTTATATAGCCTTAAGGTTAATATAAAGATAGTTAAGGCTATTAATAGTAATTCTAGTATATATAACTACCTTATAAACTTCCTTAAGATAGCTAAGGTAGCCTGAAGGCTTAAACCTTAGTAAATTAGGAAAGGCGAATATATTAAGAGTATAGCTAATAGTAGCAAAGCTCTTTATTAAGACTATGCAGTAGGGTAGAAGACGTTGTAGCGTAGATGTCTAAACGGCGGAGGAGAGGAAGATAGGCGCAGATTGAATATAGCGTCTGAAGGGCAGTTACAGCTTAGAAGAGCGAGAGATAGAGGAGACTAACAGAGATAGAGGCAGCTAGAGGAAGATAGTTAACTTAGCTTATTATAATGGTTGAAGTCTAATAGAGGAGCGTAGAAGCGAAGAAGATATCTAAGTAGTTATATAACCTAAAGGTTGTTAGTAGAGGGTAAGGGGACTAGTCTAGCTTTTGCAGTTAATACTAGTTAAATTTCACAATATAAGGCTAGCAGCCTATATTATAATTATATATATATAAATAAGATTATACTTATACTTAATTAATCTAATTTTTTTTCTAAATTATATATTTTATTTAACCTATATAACTTAAATCTAAATAAATTATACTTTCTTTAAAATATTTTTTTTATATAATATTCTTTATTATAAAAGAGATTAAGTATTTAAATAGTAGCTTATATTATTTTAAAACTTAACTTTAGTTAGTATTTTTTTATTTAATATAATCTAAATCTTATATTAATTTTAATTTTAGATATAATTAACTTTATAAATATAAATTATTTAATATTAATCCTTTTTTTTTAATTTTTAATTTTTTTAAATTAATAAAATCCTTTTTATTTATATCTTATTAAAGCTAACTATAAAACCTCTTACTTTCTTAATTTTTATAAACTTTATATCTATTTAGATTATTATAACTTTTTATAGCTATATTATAACTAAGAAGAATAAATATAAAGCTAATATTTAAACTATAAAAAAAGTATTAATATTTTCTTTAATAATTAATATCCTTTTATTATTATATATAATTATATATTATAAAATTAATAAATATAAATTTAAAGTTTTAATATATATTTATATTCCCCTCTTTAAATATTTTATAATTTAGCTATTTTTATCTTAATAATAAAATATTAATTATATAAAGAAATAATTTAAATAATTTTTAAGTAGTTTATTATAGATAAATAATACTTTAATTAAATATAAAAAGTAATTCTTATTAATAATAAAAACTTTATATATATTACTTATTACTTTAATAAAGTATATATAGCTATATTTTTCAATAAATTCCTATATAATATTATAATACTTATTAAGAAGAATATTTATTTCTTATTTACTTTAATTCTATTAACTTATTAATATTTAATTAAGTTTTATCTAAAAAAGTTTAAATTTATAAATAAGTTAAAATATCTATTTTAATAATACTTAAAATAAAATAATAAAAACCTAAATTAATAGATAAATTTATATTAAAAAATAAGAAATAACTAAAGTAAAAACTTTAATTTAAACCTTAAAATAAAGTTAAGTTAGTTATTAAAATTAAATAATAACTAACTATCTCTATTTAATTTTAAATAAATATTACTTAGAAGCTTTTAGTAAAAATACTTATTAGAATATTTCTATAAATAATTATAAAAAAGGTTTCTTATAAATAGTTTTTTTTTAAATTTTACTTATTTTAATTAATAAAATATTACTTTAGTTAAACTTTATTTAGAGGAAATAATTAAAATAAAAAAGATTAAAATAAAGATAGTTTTAAATAAAAATATAGTAATATATAAAGAAATAAATAAAATAATATAAATAGAAAGATTAAAAATTAAAAAAAATCCCTTTTATATAGAGATATAATATCTTAAACTTTTCTTTTTATTTTAATTTTCTTCTCTTTTATTAAGTTTACTCTTTATCTTTTTTAATATTAAATTATTAATATTAATATTTTTTAATAATAAATATTTTGTAAATTATTATATCTTATTATTTAATATATTAAGAAGTATAAATTTAAGTAAGTTTTTACTAAAGTAATATTATTATAACTTCTTTTATAAAAAGAGATATTATTTAAGTTAGAGAAATTTTATTATATTCTCTTTTAAATACTTATTATTAAGAAAATTAAATATTATATATGAAATATCTTAATAAAATATAATTATATTTAGATATAAATAAATATCTAAATTAATTTAGTTATAACTTAAAGCTTTTTATATAATTTATAAATACTTAAAATTAATTAGTTATAAATAGTTTTATACTATTTAGAGATCTAATTAATAAAATAGATATTATAATTAGCTATTAAGTATATAAAAATAATTATATTATTTATAAATATAATAAGAATTCTATATATATATAAAGTTAGTAAAATCTTAATAAATAAATAATATAAAGATAAATAATATTATAATATAATTAGTAATTAATTTTAAATAAAATAAGTTATATTTTTATAATAAACTAAAGTACTCTTAGATAATATTAATATAATTTTTAGAAATATAAATAATAAATATATATATTTACTAAAAAATAGATAATACTTAATATAAATATTCTTATTAATTCTTAATCTTAATATTATAAATATTTTTTCTAAAGATCTAATAGTTTTAAAATTTAATAGAAACTTCTTTACTATTTTATATCTTTTTATATAAAAATAATAAGGACTAATAAGTTTTAGCTACAATTATAGTTTTAATATTATAATTAAAATAAATAATTAAAAGTATATAGCTAAACTTTAAAATAACTTTAAGATATTAAGCTATTATATTATAAGATATATATACTAAAATCTTAATATAAAACTATATAATAAATTATAAATAAATATTAGTATTTATATAAATCTTAAAGCTATATAAAAGTAATTTATTATATATATTAAATAACTAAATAAAGTTTAAGCTAAATATTATTTACTTTTTCTATTTATATTATATCTCTTATAAATAAATAATAATATTATTAAAAAAGACTTTATAATATATTTTATAGAAGATATTATAATTAATAAGATAACTTTATTAGTATATAAATATATAG